CCCAACATTGTGTGTTAGTTTCTTTCTTAGGTTTTTTGGCTGTGTACAGACATCCGGTTCAATAAATTATTGGCATGAACGGAAAAAAGAGCATGGGGTTCCTTTTTCTGCTGTGGATGCAGGAGACTTGGTCAAGTGGATGCTTTGGGCCCAGAAAAGAATAGCGCTAGGGACGGTTGGGTTGCTAAACAAATACCTGGAGGAGGCAGGAGCCTATTGGCAAAGACTTTAGTGTTCCCAGCCTACAGAACATCTCATGGTAACCCTTTTTTAGGCTTGAAGGAGAGCAACTGCTCACACCTGCCGATGTGGCTACACAAACCTGTGAAGCACAGTACTCAAAACACCAATTCATAAAACATGCCGAGACCAAAGTCTGCATGCTCTAAGCATTTCGGACTGTGGGAGACATGGAAAGTAGGCGTCAGCCCCTGAGTTTGCCTTCTTTTGTCAAGAGGCCCCTTGAAATGTTCTGAATTGTCTACATCTAACACAATGGCATGCGGAAAAGGCATACAGGTGGACAAATGTGGTAACATGTTAGTAGTATCCAATGCCGAATAATATACTGAGCAATACATTCATTGTTTAGTGTCCCATGGTAAACATTTCTTGGTCATTTTACATTATAACCATCTAAATTTGTTTGCCATTAGTTGTGCTTGAAGCAAGCCTTTAAGTGATATTTAAATTGATATTTATAAAGAACAGCTGTGGCTTTCAAGCTTCAATATTTTGTTTGCATCTTATTGCCCTGTCAAGGAAAAAATCAAGAGTCAGTCTTAATCCTGTGTATTCTTCCCTATCTGGGGAGGAAACTGAACGGTGCAATACTGTGAATATGAAATATTTCCAGGCTTTAAGCAGTTAAAACAAAGAAGCAGAGAACTGTAGAATTTTCTGATGAGGTTATTCACTTCTCCTGTCAGGGAAACGACCCCATGAGTCTCAAGTCTGCTCTTAACCTGTTCTTCAGAGAGAAGAAAAGGAAAAGATATCTTGGTTCACACATAGCAGTTTAATGGTTTGACTTGGTATTCTACTCATCTAGTGTTTATCTTAGCAGAGATATTCTTTTGAAATGAAGCCATCAGTAAGGGTATTAAACTCATCTGATGGAAACAGGAAGCCACAACGGATATAACTACGGTTATATTTTGGGGCAAGTGTGGAGGCCATAATAAATGGCATAATATCCAGCAACCCAACAATACCATTGTTCATGTGAACTTGATTTTTTAGAATCCTGACCTGCTGTAAGTGATACAAATTGAAGAATACGGGTACCAGATTTCTTAAAGCCCCCCATTTAGAGATGCTTAGAATTTTCTGATGAGGTTATTCACTTCTGTCAGGGAAATGACCCCATGAGTCTCAAGTCTGCTTGTAAGAAACAGGCCCTCAACTTCTGGCCCTCCAGATGTGAGCATCTACTATAGAAACAGCTGGCCATAGTTTCTGCACACAGAAGTAGAAAAAAGCTAAAAAGTTGAGAACCACAGCTATAACAAATATAATGCACCTGCTACTGAGGTAACAGGATAAAAGTCTAGTATTTTACTGAACACTTATGAAGCACTAAGTGCACAGATGCAGAAAGCATCTGTGGCTGTTATCTTTTTTCCTCAACTCCTGTTTGAATTATACAAATTCAGCCACACCTAAAGTGGCTATGCTGACATTCCTAGATTCTTTTGCCTGCTTTTTTTGTGGGAGAGCAACCAGCTTCTATTTAAAGTAGTACAGATTTTTCAGGTGCATTTTATTAATAGAAATATTTGTAGGCACACTATCGGGAACTGCTTCACATCAGGAGATGGAAGATGCGTAGATTGGAAAGGCTCTTTAATTAAAAATCATTCCCAAGGCAGGGGGACACGGACAGAGATTTCAGTAAGGGGCATGTAGGAGAAAAAGGAAGGAAACTAAGTCTCGTATAGTACTGGATTTGGTCCAATACAATTACATAAGCATGAATTAAAACTTGATTTGCAAAGCAGTTCTGTCCCCTTTTTGCTTCGTTGCTTAATGACAGTTGATCAAGTTCTGAAAATAATCCTTTGGTTTCAGCTAAATTTAAAAGTATACCTGGGTATTAACTTTTCTATAGAACCTTTTCTATCATGTACACAATCTCCTTGTACTAGTCAGCACAGAGGACCACAGAAGCAGAAACCTGGATCAGCTTTTGATTATAGATGCTACAGATCTGCTCCTACATGCCAAACCTTGTTGCCATGAACGACAGTAATGGCACTCTGAGTCCCATCTGCTGATTTTAACAACTCTGAAAGGTTTTCATCCTGTCCTGACAACCATCACAGTGGCTTTAACCTGCTGAAACAGCAAATCTGAACCAGCTGCTACAGAAGCCATACGTGTCATTTACTGAGGGACCTACTGTGATTTACTCAAAAAGTTTCTCAGCAGACATTCACGGCCACAGAGATAATTTTTCTCACTATTATGCTAATCTCTGTCCCTGAAATAATCTTGGATTCTCTTATCTTTGTTATTTAAAGGAAAAAGAGAAATCCAAGCTGATTGAAATAAGTCAACAGAAAAGGATGTGTCATCTGTTTTCCCCAATGTTTCTTTTTAAAAGCCCCCACTCATCTTCAGTAAACATCTGATTTTTTTTATCCGTTACACAGAAGAAATTTTAACAAAACTCTTTTTTTGTAAGGACAAGATGTTGTACCTGTCAAACAGTTCCTTCTCCAAAATTATCAGAGGTAGCTGCCCCAGTTGCATTGATTTAGCAACACAACTCTATTACAGGAAAAAAGAGCTTTGCTGCAGTTTCCCTACAATTGAGAGAAAAAGATGCCACATATTTCCTAAGAACAGAGGAATAATTTAATGGAAACGCTAACAGTAGATGGACATGTTCTAAATATCAAGTAATTTCCTTGTGCCTCACAGGCAAACACAAAACTGGAAGATCGTAGAAGAAATTTTTAAAGAAGTTTACAGTAAGTGTAGGGTTGTGGCACGGTTGAGCGATGAACAATCCACAGCACTGCCCAAGAAACCTTCCAGATGAGGCACATTGACTGAAGATAGACCCGAAGAGTAAACCAAATAGGTTGCATCTGGGCACTATAGGCTCAGCTTCAGGGAGACACACACTGGACTGATGCATGGAAGAAAGGAAGCTGTACTCTGCTTCCTGATGATGATCATAGAGCTCTTCAGCAAAGAAGAACTAACTGTTATTCTGACCTTATACAAAGGCATTAACCTGGATGTTGCCTTCAAGCGTAGCTTGGTAGATTTCTATCGTTTCCACCAAGGGCAGAGGCTCAGCACTCTCAATAATAGCTATTGTCTCCCCAAATTCAGTGCACATGATAGTCTGGATGGGTTGGCCAGTAGCCACCAGGGACTCAGCAGATGGCAGTGCATCCTCCTGGCAAGGAGCTAGTTCTGTGTGAGTTTTGCGGTGGCTTCGCAGATTAGACAGAGTCTTGAAGGTCTTCGGGCAGTGGGGGCAGGGGTGAGGACGCTCCCCAGTGTGGATGCGCCGATGCTCTGCAAGATGCATGGACTGTACAAAGGCTTTTCCACATTCTGGGCAGCGGTAAGGGCGCTCCCCAGTGTGCAGACGCCTGTGCTCCCGCAGATGGGTAGCCTGACGGAAAGCCTTGCCACAGTCTGGGCACGGAAAAGGGCGTTCCCCTGTGTGGATACGCTGGTGGAGCTGCAGCCCGGAGGCTGCTACAAAAGTCTTGGCACAGACTGGGCACTTGTGAGGGCGTAGGCCAGCATGGCGCTGCTGATGCCGGCTCAGCCCACTGGGGGTAGTGAATGCTTTCCCACAAAGTGGGCAAGAGTAGGGCCGCTGGCCTGAATGTACCAGCTGGTGGAGGGCCAGCTTGGCCAGGGAGCCCATATACTTCCCACAAGATTTGCATGGGTAAGACTGCGGACTCGTCTGCTCACGGCGCCTGGCACAGCGGTGTTCCTGCAACTTGGAAGCCATTACAAAAAGAGCACCACAATCTGGACAACGGTGGGGCTCGTGCCCAGAATGGCTGAGCCGATGCAATTCCAGGAGACGCCGCCGAGGGAAAGATTTGTCACATTCGGGACAAGGAAATGGAAAGCAGCCAGTGTGCACAGTCCGGTGCAGGGCCAGTTGGTGGGCTCGCGCAAAGGCTGCACCACAATCTTTGCAAGAGTGGGAGCCCTCCCTATTCGGGCCCATGTGCAAGAGGCGATGCTGGCGAAGGTTAGAGGACTGGGTGAAGCGCTTGTTGCAAACCTGGCACTGATAGGGACGCTCTCCGGTGTGTGTGACATGGTGTCGTGCCAAGTTAGCCTGAGACACAAACGTTTTGCCACACTCGGAGCACTGAAATGGCCGTTCACCAGTGTGTGTCCGCAGGTGGTTTCGCACATGCACCAATTTCTTGAACTTTTTGCCACATGTGGGACACTTGTGTTTGCGCTCCAAAACATGCACCACCCGCTTGTGCCGCACCATCCGTATGTAGGTGGAGAAGGCCTTCCCGCACTGAGGACAAAGAAACCCAGAACTGGCCACTTCTGTTGATGGCCCTGGTGGGGAGGAGGAGACTGAGCCGTTCACAACTACCTCCCCATCACTGGGTGCTGGCTCAAGTGGCTGACTGGTCACTAGGTCTCCTGCCCCACGAGTGGGTGGAATCCCACTTTTGCCCACATGTGTACGTCGGTGGTAAAGGAACTTGGTCATGTTGCTGAAAGTCTTGCCACAGTGGCAACGGTGAAGGGGATTGGCTGTATGGCTCTTGCGGTGCATAATCAAGGTCATCTCTGTGGAGAAGCCAAGCCCACAGTCCATACAGAGGTAGAGTGCTTCACCTTTATGGATCCGCATGTGCTGCTCAAGAGAGGCTGCCTTTTTGAAAATCTTGTTACAATTTGGACATTCGTAGGTGCCATCCACATGTACCCGCTGGTGAGCCAGCAACCTCTTGGCTGTTGTAAAACCACGTTGGCACTCACCACACAGAAACTCCTCAGTGCTCCCTGTGTGCTCCTGCTGATGCTGCCACAGTGCCTCCCCGGTTCCAAACACCTGCTTGCACTCCTTACAGCAGAAAGTCTGAGCAGGTGGAAGCAAGGCTGGGGGTTCAGCAGAATTCAGCAGTGGAGACTCATGGGGACTGCAAGTCTCTTGTGCTACCCCCTCCGAGGGCTCTCCACTCTCTTTTTCAATCTCCGTAAAATGTTCTCCCTGATGTTCTAGCAGCTCTTCGGGTGTTAGGAAGAGAAAGGCACACTCTGAGCACTCGTAGGGATACACAGGTGGAACAGGTTGTGGGGATGATGGGAGTAATGCCTGAAAGGGTGGTAGGGAAGGTGCCTGGGATGGCTGTGAAACAGATGCTTGTAAGGAAGATGAAGAAGCTGGTGGAATTGATGGAGGGGACTCGGCTGGAACGTTTTGCTTCTGGTGCATTTGTCTGTGTGCCAGCCACAGGGCAGTAGAAGGAAAGAGTTCATTACACTCACTGCACTGATAGTGGATCTGTCCAGTGGTGGATGGTGGAGGTTGGGGGCGGCTTGGCACCTCCCTAGGGTGTACTTCCTGGTGTGCTAAGAGCTCATCAGGTGACAAAAGGACACATCCACATTCCAGACACTGATAGCGGCTATCCTGCTGGGACTCTTGGCCAGCTACACTGGCTGTGGCTGCAGGCTCGCATGATTCCTCTAGATGGCTCTGATGGTGGACCAGTACTCCCTCCAAAGTGTCATACAGAAGCCCACACTCTGAGCACATGTACTGGTGCTGAAAGAACACGGACTGAGCCAGCTCCTCTGCCATGGTACCTGCAAGGGAAAGAGAGAAAGAAACCTATGTGAGTGGGAAAAGCTATCTCAATAAGAAGTAATGGTGGGATCAGGCTGCAAGAGCGTAATCAATCCTTCATGGTGAAGGCATGGCCTCCTGTCATGAGAAAATGATGATTTAAATAAAACAAAGGACCTTATAAACACACAAGTATGGGTATCCCATTGAATGCAAAAGGTACGGACCATTTTCCTTAAAATAACCCTGGCCTGGATTTGCAGGGCCCCTGGAAGCAGAAAAGCCACCAGAAATGTTATGGAGAAAAAGTAAAAAGTACAGTAATTTAGAATTTCCTCCAGTAAACAGAAGTATCTGAACAACAGACAAAATAAGTTGTGTAAAGAGAATACAGTTTCGTTCTCCTGAGTAATTCCAGCGTGTTACTGTATACAGAACTATTTTTTTTCTCTCCTCCTCCTGCGTGTCCATCTAATGCTACTACTCGGGCAGATGAAAAAAGGGAGAGGGCTTTACGAGGAGGCTATGCCAGGCGCTGCTGATTCGGGGTGGGGTGTGTGCGTGTGTGTGTGGGGGAAGAGGGTCTCCGTCCCTTCTGTTCTCTGGGCAACAGGTATAGACCCTGCCCCTTAAAAGAGCAACCCCAGCCTCTACTGGCCGGGCCCCTGGAAGCAGAAGGGCCACCCAAGGCACCAGGGGGGAGGCGGAGGAGGAGAGGGAACGAGGAGGCGGATGAAGAAGAGGCCGTTGGCGGAGGGGGAGGTCGGGCGGTGGGAGGAGCGCCACACTCACCCGGCCCCGTGGGCCTAGCCCACTCCGGCTACGGCCGCTTCCTGTCCTCCCTGTTTGTGCTCTCCTCAGACGGGCCCGACTCGGCCTAGCCTGCACCGCGCCTTCTCATTGCCTCTCCCGCAACTCCGGGGGAACCAATCGCGGGCCTCGATACTAGGAGGCGGTTCGGCTCGGTGACGTCATGAGGCCGAACACGCGCGCGCGCACGCGCCCCCCCCCAGGGGCGGAGGGATCATGCAAAACGTCCTGAGCAGCGGCCTCTCAGGGGAGGGGCGGAGGGAGCGGCTTTTAGGCCCCGCCCCGTCACGAGGCAGGAGAGGTGCGCCCCGTTACGTGGGTTACGTAACCCTGCGCCGCCGCTCGCAAACCGCCCCACGGTTTACGCAGTCAGCGCCGTCTCCATGACACCGCTCAGGTCCTTTTATGTAAACGTTTCAATTCATTACGTCTTGGACGGGGCGGCGGGGTGGGGAAAGGCGACGGAATTCTACGCTAGGAGTGTAAAGCAAATTACGTAACGTCAACGACATCTGCGGGGAAGAAGGCGAACAAGCGAAAGGGGCTCTCGCCCATCCTTCACGGGGAGGCCGGCCTCCGCGTGGCTCCTCCCACGCACGTGGATCACGAGGACAGCCGCGGGCCGGCCGCGTGAGGGGAGGGAGGGCGACGCACGCGCCGTTGGCCTTTCGTCAACCCAGGCGTCGGAGAACGCATGCGCGGAGGGCTAGCTCGTGACGTTAGGACAGGGCAAAGGAAAAAAAACAACCCGGACGCATGCGTCGAGGGAGGGAGCAGGAGCCCAGGTTAGTATAGCGCAAGCGCAGTTGCGTCGAAGGTACGAGAAAGATCGGATCGGTGGGGCTGAGGTGGGAGCCGCCGGAGCTCGGTAAGTCTGTTGTTTTTAAAAATGGGTGTATAAGAGAGGATAGAGTAGGAAAAGAGAGATGATGATGTTTTCTCAACTGGAGGGTGGGGAGGAGAGAAAGGAGCCGCCTTGCTGCCGGCTTCATTTTATGCGAGCGAGGGGGGCTCGTAGGGAGGGGTCGCCCTTCGCCTTCGGGGGAGGAAAAAGGAGATTTCCCGTGAGGTAAACGAGTTCTGGCCCGTGGGAGTCACGAAGAGTCGGACACGGCTAAGCGACAACAAACGAGGGAAAAGCCGTCCAAAGGGGAGTGAGGCGGCGGGGAACCTCGACGAAAACCGGACGGAGAAAAACACCGGGAAGGAGCCGGGCTCGGGAGGGGTTTGTGTGGAGGAAGCGGTGAGGTGGAGATTTGGGGGAATCAGAAGGTGGCCGTTAAGAACGAGGAAAGCGAACGGTTTGGAATGGGGGAGAATGGCGGAGATCAAAACAGCGGGAGGCCCCCCCGGGGGGGTTGGGGAGGGACATGCGCGGAGAGCAAGCTCCTCCGTACGTGTAGAGACGGTGCTGGGTGCCAAGAGGGGTGGGGTGGCTGCGCCTCAGACACGGGGCTCGCCCGCCCCTCACCGGGCTTGTGCTCGCCCTTGTGACGGACTGGTTGGTGGGGGGGAGGGGGCGCCGCCTAGTTTCCTGGGGGTGCCGCTGCTGCCACCGTGTGGCGGGTTGGTGTCTTGCGCCGGCGCGGCTCGAGCATGAAACAGCATTTTGCTGTGGGAAACGACGGCCGGAGCGAAGGGTCCCTCCCCAGCTAGCTTCCCTGTTGCCAATCCAGTCTCTCTCCCCGCCCCTTTGGGTGCAGAAGCAAAGGCAGAATGGGAATGAACGGTTGCTTGCTTTCTCCTTAGATACGCCTTTTCGTTTCTGCGTCTTCTGTGTGAGATGGAGCAGGATAAATCTCATTTAATTGCTTGGGTGTTTTTGTTTTTCAGACCCTTCTTTAACAGTGCGGCAGCTGAATGTAATAGGATTGTTCTGGAGGCATCTCAACCGATTTTTTAATTCGTCATTTAAGTTGTAAAGCCCGCACGGCTGCTGAGATATCTCTGTTCCTTCTCTCTGAGTTCAAAGTACAACTGGTCTTTCCCACTAACTAGTTTGGAACAATTAAGATCTGTTGGGATTCAGCTCTGCCTATGGCTGACATTAGGAAATCACTTTTTGTTCACATGTGGGAGGAGGAAGAATGTCTAGAGTACTATGGGATGATTTCCCTGCATCGAATGTTTGACGTGATCGGCTCCCAGCTGACAGAGAATGATATAGAAGTACTCTCTTTCCTCCTGGATGAAACACAGCCATGGACCCATCCATTGGATCCTGCCCTCTGGGCTGTAGCAGCAGCAGAAGAGGGGGGTTCTGAGACCACATCACCTATATTAGAGAGCTGGAAAAAGAAGAATCAGCGCTGGTGTAGTTTGGGAAAGACTGATCCTAATCTTGAGGAAGCTGCAGATAGGCAGCGGCCCAAGAATGGTGTCCAGCTGCTCCTGGAACTAGAGAGGAGAGGCATATGTGATGAAACCAACTTTGTGCGGCTGTTGCAGCTCCTACGAGTTCTAACAAGGCATGACCTGCTACCATATGTCACCCTGAAAAGGCAACGTACAGGTATTGGGAAATTTCATCAAGTATGGGATTTTGACTTTCTTGAGTGAACTTACTATAGGATTTTTATTGTAAATAACACTTGCTGTCTTTTTCCAGGAATATTGGCACTAGGAGGGATAGGTGGGGTGGGGAGAATAGGGTCACTTTACTCTCTCAGTCACTGAGTTCGTGTATTATGATACTAAGCACATTTTTGTAGAGTTGATATCTAAACTTATTTGACTGTTGGTGTTTCGAGCTTAAGTTGCTTCAGCTTTGTTTTAATTTTGAAATTCTTTTCACATTTTAGTTTCTCCTGAGAGATATACCTATGGACCATCTGTCCTATCATCAGACCGGCAGGTGGACAGCTGTCTCAGTTCAGCCTCTGCAGAGCCTCGGAATGATCAGTGGGAAACAGGTGTGTTTATTGTGTAGAAAAGCATTCATTCCTTTTCTGGTTTCCCTTTTATATCCTGTTTGCTGTAAATGTGAGATTTGCACAGTACATTAAGTATGATGTGTCATGAAACCAGTGTCTGTGCAATTCTGAGGTTGCATCAGTAGCAAGACACACTTCCCATGGTTTTCAACTTGTGTTGCAGAAAACAACTGTTTGTAAATAGTTTATCTGATATGGTTGGTTCGAAGTATAGATTTATCTATTATGTGAAATTTGAGATATGATTACTAATGATCCCATGTGCCTGATTTGCTTATGCTTACCTCTTTCTTTACAGGCTCTAATTCCAGCAAAAGGAAGCGAGTTAGCAGAGGCCGGGCAAAGTCTGCTCCTCCTCGCAGGCGACGAGGAGCCAAGGCAGCTTCTACTCCAAAACAGGAAGTTCAAGCTCCCACCAAAGTGACCTGTGGTAGGTGTCTGCCTAGCATATGCTGCATTCCTGGAGCTCCTTTTTTGGAGTAATTCTCTTTTTTAACGCCCACAAAGCCATTTTAATACACTTGTTAGTAGTTTTGGTTTTCCTTAAGGGATGGATCAGATATAATCTTCTCTTTCTAACAGAGAGAAGTAAGAGTTGATCGGTAGACAAGATAAAAGGTATAATACACAGTTGTAATGAGAAAATCCTGATCTGTATGAGTGAATGTGAATTTTTTTCTTGCACTACTAGATGCAGTTTAAATAAATTGACGAGAGTTCATCCCAGTTCAGTGGAAAAATAGAAGCTCTGGTCCCCTGTACAGAGCAGGGGTGGGGATGCTCTAGACCACTCCACCATATGCTGTCTTCAGTTCCCAATATGATGTGGCTGATTCCAGTGTTCATATCCAGTCCTCCCAACTGGTCAATTTTATTTATTTGCTGTCAGTACCTCTTACACCTCGTCCTTCACAAAAACAAAGATTTCCATTATGTATGGAATAATCTAAAATAAACTGAATGAGAGAAACAGTGTCTTCAGATCATTAGTACCTTAGCTCAGTTACTGGGAGGGCTGTGGAAGTTGTGACCTCAGTGCACCAATATGATATACTGGTCTTGGAGAGAGCAGACTGTCTAACCGCTCTGGTGTTGTTTTCTGTGATTAATTGGAGAAGCATTGAGGCAAATCTGGACTAGTTCCATTGAGTCTGTCTGCCATTTTTCTGCTTCAGCCACTGCAGATTAAAAACAACTCCGTTGAAATTACATATGTACACTTTAAAAGGAAAGAGTTATAGATTCAGAGTGTGACAGTATCTGAAAGTTTCTGATGTGTTTCGGATAATGTTTTGTGGAGTAAGTGTAAATAAAAAAGAATAGAGTTAAACTCATTTGAGAATAACAAGGCTTGTTTATAAAAGTTAGTTTTTTCTTGTCAAGATATCATCTAAAAGATTGATTTCTATTTGTTCTGCAAGGAACTTGCAGGCACAACTGCTACGTAAGATAAAACTAAATAAGAATAGACTTCAGTCTAAATGGGCGAGATATAAATTAAATAAATAAATATTACGCTGTTGGGCAAGAATGATTGGTCTGTATTTTTGAGTTGTGGCCTAGATTGTAAGTGGTCTTTTGGCCATGTGGCTGCAGAATGTCCAGGAATACTTTAGCCATCATTCCATCTAACGCCCAGACAGAGTTTTGGCATTATCATTGCCAATGCTGCTTGGTTTCTATACTACATTTCTCATTAGGGTCCATTTTCATGGTTTGGATGATAGTAGCAGCCTACTATATAGGTTTTGCTTAAATCCCATAGACTTCAAATATTCAAGTGAATGATTTGCATTCAGATTTACTGTAAATCTCTTATAAATTCAATAAATCAAATCCTGGCTTGATATCCTGGGTATTCAGTTGTTTGTCTCTAAGACCAGCATATATCATCTTGTTTCTATAACTTACGGCTTTTCTGTGCGCGTCTGGGTGATAATTCCACATGGAGAAACTGTGAAATCTGTTAGTAGAGATGTGACAATCCATACACAGTTTTCACAGTTTCATTCCACAGATATGGATTAAATCTAAAGCTTACCTCGCAAGTAGATGGATGCCAAGGGCTGGTATAGGATCCAAACAGAAACCAGTGTTCTCTTGTCTTTATGTCAGTGCAATGCAAATGAAAAAAAAAAAGCGAATGCACAAAAACACTTGTCTTAACATCTGACCAATTTACAGGCAATGGGTTCTAACGAAGAAGGTTCAAAAATAATACAATGAGTGTCAAAACTGCAACTTCAAGGTGCAGCTAAGGCTTCTGCCGGGTAGGTGCAAGGATCAAACTGTAAGCTCCATTCAACACTAGATTTTTGCCTGTATACTTTGTAATATTACTTTGTTTCACTGGGGCAGATCCTGAGGACTTGTGTTACACAGGCAGCTGCAGTTGAATTAAGCTCTGTTTCTTATACCCTTCTGAGTTGTACGTATAATCTTGGGAGTGTGATTTCCATCTCCCTTTCCAGGGTGCAACCTCCTGGGCTATTTTATCCTCCAGGAACCAGAAGTTAGTTGTTGGGGGGGAAAGTACAACCCCCCCCCCAATGATCTTTTTGTTGCTATTTACTTTCTGCCAATTCTTTCTCAATCCGTCATTTAAATTCCAGGTTACTAAGCAAAAGTTGATGATAAAGAGACTCTGTCTCTCTTGTGCACTCCTCAAAGAATGGTCTCGCAAAGGTAAATGAATCCATGCACCCAAATTTCCACCAGTTCTTTGTGAAACAAAACTGTGTTTAAATGTGTGCTGAATTATCTAAATCTGGAGGAGCCATCGGTTGCCCTCTTCTGCATGTTAGCGTCTTGGACAGCATATTAGCTATTCAGATGCTCAGTGGGGACAGGGCTGCATTGGCAGCTCCTGGGAATATAGAGCCATTCCAGACTGGCACCGCAGGGGGCTTGTGCTGCAAACCTCCAGCAGGGTCTGATGGAAACAGGCTGAGGAATATGCCCCATACAGGGCTGTTATTTGTTGATGTCTTAAGTATCAATCCATTGAAGCCTTTACTTAGCTAGGTAGGGAGACAGTACCTCTTACGTCAGGTGAGCCTTTTCATGGTATAGCCACTGCTGCAGATATTGGGTCATTGTTAGTTTTTACAGAATCCCCTTTGGGCTTTGTTCAATCTTTTTTTCGTTGGGGGCAGAAAAATGCCCTTAATTTCTTCATCTTGTTCAGGTGCTTTTAACAGTTGTGTGCTGGCCAATGGGGTTTATTATTGGTGGATGTACTGCCAATGTTTAATAATCTACCCTGAGTTATGTTACTATTTTTCTTTCAAAATCCAGTTGATACTGTTCTACTGTTACAGTTTTAACCAACCCAATATTATAATAAAAGTGATATTGCATTGGTCTATGTGCCATTTGGCACTCTTAAAGAATAAGCATTCTGTGTTCTTCCAGGGAGAATTCCCGTGCTCATCTGGTATCTGCAGCAGTCTGTATCAGCTTAACGCAGAAGTTAACATACCTCCTTTTCTCCATTTTGTGTTCTTTTGCCATATTGAATCTCAAAATGATTTCTTGCTGTTACCATGTGCTAAAAGTCTTGAACCATCTTTCTCTCGGTCCACAGTTGAAATCCATCCCTGGAAAAGCATAAGTATTGGCCCAGGCAAGCGGGCCAAGTACCAGACACTGGTAAAAATACCCAGACAAACTAAAAAGCAAAAACTTAAGTGTGCCCTCATGATTATTTCAGCTGCCTCTTCAACGCTTCTCCTATTTTAGAAGCGATCCTGCATCTGGACCCTGCAGCGCTCTTGTAAAACAAGCTGTGAGGGACACGACCTTGGACTCTGGGACTTGTTGCCTTCTGCACAGTGGAGGCATTTTTCTGCTGTTAAACTGTCTGTAATGGGTTTTGATGGCTTGTGAAAATTGTGTATCAAGTGTGGGGGACAGAATGTAATATAATGAGCAGAACTTGAATCAGTACTCTACGTAGGTTCCAACTCTCTTTTGCAAACCTGGAATTTTAACATTGCTCTGTTGGGTCTTTTGATCTCGGTTTGTAATTACGTAGTACTGAATACATGATGAAAGGGTTGTATGGGTGATGAGGTGACAGGCCTCCTCCTTTGAAACCATCCTACTTGAGTGGTAACGGACTTGGCAGATTCTTTAGTCTTGCTACCACAATTTAAATGTGGGAAGGCAATATTGATGGAAGCCTCTGCAATGTGGGGTTCTCTGGTGTGTGTCCAAGCTATATATACTTCCAAACAATGACCACAGTGGGATTATTTCACTGGAACTGGGGCCTGAACCTGGAGAATTGAGTGGGTGTGGTTCTGTCTTTGCAGCCTCAGCTAATGTCGGTTTTGCCCGAATAGGTCATGTCTAATCTAATGCAGCTGCTCAGGGCTTGCATTACTGCTGGCGGGGCAAGGTCACGGAACCAGTTCTCACTTCTTTCAGCCAGTTCTGCCGAAACCGCCCCACAGCCTTGCAGTTGACATGTATCCTGCGTGTTTGAAATAAAAGTTAGGTTCATCCACTGTAGTCTGTACTTAGAGGTTTTAATGCTGTCCTGGGAGAGTAAGCATTTTTAGTCACTTATGCGCAACATGACTCTTGACTCAAGAGATGCCAGTATGTTAACGCCAACTCTGACAGCTGCTGTCCTTAAGTACTCGGCACCCTTTTGATATTGAAAGCTGAGCGAGCTGTTCTGTTCCGATAAAATCCTGTGCCAACCTATGATAGATGCAAAAATATCTGTATCTAAGCTGTGTACAGTGCTAATAAAAATGGAATCTTTCACCTGCTCTGCATATAGGCAGTATGTCGGTTGGGAATCTGTGGTTGGGTTATGAAGATCGTTTCCAGTGGGCCCAGCAGTTGATCTCCTTTAACATGCTGCTCCATCAAGAGGCGCAAGTGTTGGCGTGTGAAATAGTAAAAGGAGTCTCTGCGTTGAATTCATAGTTTCAGATACATGGAGTTTTTCCTCATGTGGAAGATGGCACTGCCTCTAACAGAAATTCCCCCTTTTGAGTGGAGTGGTGCCATTTACTGGATAATCTGTGGAATGAAAAAAAATATGACTACAGTTATCTAATAAAATTTGCTGCTGTTGCCCATCTGGAAAGAAAATGGTTCCAAGTTCACTCTTGGTTGAGGCTTAGTAATTCATTACCAGAAATTTGTCTTGTATCTAGATGTTATGGGTGGGTATGGGCTCCAGGCAGTACAAAGTTGCTGGTAAAGGGCTGTGACTGCACTTTGAGTTAATGCTTCTACAGGTGATGACCACAAGACACAGAGAAATTAAAGCTGACGGCCTTGTTGAGCGTATGTAATACACCACCTGCCTCATTTTTTAAACGTATCCTGCTCTGTATTTGTTCCATTTCTCCCTCCCTCTTTCAGCTACACTGCTGAAAATGTTTTCAGTAATTGATCAAAACTAAATTTTTTCCACTGTCCATCGTTACAGCTGAACTTCACTGATTTTTTTAGCGTGTGTATAAAGCATTGATAAGGTTACCTTGGCAGCAAGTCAATTTCAACATAGCTCAAACCTAATTCAGAGCTTTTTAAAGCAGACTTTCAGTGGTGAGCCTTTTTCCTGTCATCTTGCTCCAGATCATGGGACTTTATGGCCTAAGGTGAAGCAGTGATCCAGGTTAATTAAAAAAGATGTGGATACGGCTTTAAGGATTGTGGGTTGAAATAGTTTGAAAGCTCTTGAAGAAATACTCCATTGGCATCAACAGTAATCGACAGTTGCTGTAATTGGCTATAACAGGCGTGGAATAGAGAGAGGAAATTAGACCTGTAGGCTTCTTCTGATGCTAAGGGTGACAGCTAAGTCAGAATGTATCTGTGTATTTCACTTGCTATGTGTGTCACTGGCGTGGTTAGATGTAGTGTTGATGGACATTAGCGAAGTTCAGCTCTAACTTTGTGCCAGTGGTACAATTCAAAAAGGTAAACACCCCTTGCTGGAACTGACCATCTCAAGGAACCTGAACTTTTGTGGAAACCTGAGTGGCCTGGATCATCAGCTTGGTGGGTTTTTAAGTTCGGCACGTGTTCAGGGCTTTTGGAGTGCCCAATCCTAGAATATTGCTGCATGATTGTGTGTTTGTCTGCACTGTCCGTTTGTGACTCCCAGCTCTAACGTTTCTCCTCCCTTTTTTCTCCCCCTTCCCCTTCTCTCTCTTTCTGTCTCTATTCATTATGTTATGCTCAGACATCCGGCTCCGTGTTCGTGCAGAATACTGTGAGCATGAGCCTGTCTTGCGTCAGAATGTGATGTCAAACAAGCAGAACCGGTTGGAGCGCCAGTTTGATGTCTTTGGGCAGTCCAACACAATCCTCAAGTCTCGTGACCTGGGTTCAATCATCTGTGACATTAAATTCTCGGAGTTGTCCTACCTGGATGCCTTCTGGAGTGACTATATGAATGGCTCTCTGTTAGAGGCACTGAAGGGAGTTTTCATCACAGATTCCCTCAAAGAGGCTGTCGGCCAGGAGGCTATCCGACTACTAGTCAATGTGGATGAGGATGATTATGAGGAAGGACGACGGCTCTTGCTGGAAAGCGTTTCTCCCCAGACGTGGTAGCTAATGTACCTCTAGGAAATCTAGGTAGGTTCCCTTAGGATTAGCTTGCACTCATGTATGTGGTTATAGCTCCCTAGTGATGAAGCTGTCTCCTGTGTTAATCACCTCTTATTTTCCATTGGCTCAACAATAATAGACATGAATTTTGTAGGTGGCAGTAAGGGCTACAGTTAGGTGAATGTAGAAGGACTCAGTACCTTAATCTAGTGTGAGTGTTGTTCCACAAAGACATCCAGCTCAAGGAAATGGAACGTCTTCTGCAAGTGATAACCAGTACTTTTCTTCCCAAGACCTAACTAGCTGCCAGTCCTCGTTTTGCAAGATGTATTTTATGTTCATAGCACGACTGGATTCTGTACTGACTTTTAAAAAATCATTTAAATTGTATAATGCAAAAAAGGCATTTAAAATACATAATGTAAACCTCATAAAGAGCAAGATTAAACAAAACTAATAGAACTAGAAAAGCAACTAGCCTAGATAAGAGTATAGGTAGATCCTGCAGATCTCATGATGGTCGGCAGACCAAAGGCTCTCTGGAAAAGAATGCTTTTTCTTTTATCATCTGAATACAAACAGGGATGCATGTGGAACTAGTACTCTGCTTAACACCCTCTATTTTCTCACAGGGCACTTCATTTTGACTCCCTGGTTACCATATCTGCATTGGATATAGACTTCAGGCGGGAAAAAGGACTTAGAAAAAGAATCCTCTTCCTGTCGTGGGGCAAGGCTGGATCTTGGCAGCGACGGGATTCCAGGGAGTCACGGTTGTCTCATGGCTGCTCCTGTAGAGGATGAAGCATTGAGATGCCAGCAGGGAAAAAGTTAATGGACATTAGAGGGTAGCAGGGCTTGGATGGAGCATCAACAGTGCAGATACCTCACATTCTGGGTTGAAAGAGGAATATTTCATGGATGGGTTTTGTCCTGATGAAGCATAAAAAGGGCTTGATGCCCTTTTGATATAAGTTGGTGTGCACATCATGCTTTTGCTACTAGTATTCTGTTGTTTTTTTGCCTCCTCTCTTGCAGAGGTGGGGAATGGTCTCACTTTGAAGCCTGACAGCGAAGCATGCTGTGCTAACTATTCTTTTTCTTTAAAAAGAGAAATAAATATATTTCTCTCAGATCTGATGTTGGAGGGTGGACTTCTTCCCTTTAAGTTAAAAATTTGACCAAGCCCCACAGGGCACGGAAGACTGTAAAAATAAAAACTTGAGTCACTTTTCTGAGGACACTTTTCAACTCAGTGGTTGTTTGTACATAGTATAAATAAGGGGGGTTTAAAAATGTAAAGAAGCAGCTCAGGCAGCGTCTCCAGGTGGAGAGAACTGCTTGGCTGCAGTTTTCAGGGCCAGAGGCCAGAAATATGTAATTTAAAAAGTTGTATTTTTTTTACAGCAACAAAAGACTTTTGTCCAAAATTCTTAATGTATTGTATTTGCAAATGACAGTGTCAATAAAGAAAAGAATTTGCAACGTTTGGATTCATTTTTAATTCTCAGCAAGATTGTCGTAGAATGCCAACTCAAATTCTCTGATGCTCTGCTTAAATCTCTGTACTCTCCCTTCGGGAAAAGCAGTTGGGTGTAGGTTAATTTTTGTGTTGTGTCAAATGATGTGACTGCCTTGTCACCATAAGGAATGGTGGCACTGCCCTCCTAACAGATTTTAGGAGGGTGGAGGCGGAAATTCACTCTACCCCATGTAATGAACAGGAACTGAAGAAGTCTTGCTTTATTGCAGACAGTGCAAAAGTGTTTTCTGGTGGTAGAGATGGGGAAGGACGTTTGGGCAGATGAGTCTTGGCTGGAAGGCTTCCAGCCACACAAGTTACTGAGTCTGCCAGACTTTGTGTCAGCTGCCAAGAAACACTAAGGTGTCTGATTTTGGCAGGATGCATTCAAACACAAGAAGAGCCCTCCTGGATCAGACCAAAGGACTTTCTAGTTCAATGTTCTGTTCATGTAGTTTCCAAACAGTTGTCTATGTGAAGCCCATATAGATAAGTACATGGTTCCAGCTGTATTTCCTCATGTTCTCCAGCAACAGATAACACCCAGGTCCTGTTGTTTGGTACAGAAGATGATATATAAGTCATCCTAACCACAATAGCATTTTTTCACACATTGAACCTTTTAAAGTCCAAGTTGGTGGCTATCTGCAGCTTGCCCAAGGCCGTTGTCTCCCGGAGGTACAGCGGGGAATCAACCTGTGGCTGTTGAGCCAGATACCTAACTCACTGAGCTTCATCTTGTGGCAGAGAATTCCACAGATTGTGTTATGTGAAGATGCACTTCCATGTACAGTATTCTGAATCAACGGCAGTGGATGACTCAGGCTCTAACAGGAGAAAGGGAGTGCTTTCTTTTTGCCTCGGCTTCCTGGATGATAATTTTACTGTATATACCTCTTTAATTTCATATGTAGCATATGAAAAGCAGGATTAGATTAGGAGATGAAATAGGAAGGAAGATTAACATTTAAAGATGCATAGATGAGACATAGTGGCAGAAAGCAGTAGTGACGCCCGAGAAAGGTGAAAGAAGAAATTGCAAAAGCACAATTGCTGTTGAAAATTGAGAGAAAAACGAGAGTACAGAAAAATCACATGTTGACAATGAATAAAAAGTGCATACATTTTCTATACTTTGGTTCAAGTAAGGATTCAAGTGAACATTACAGCCAAGAAATCAAGATGAGAAAAGATCATTAGAATGTAGATGTGTCAGTGGAGACCAAAGCCAAGTTCTTCTACCCTTTTCCCCTGAAAATAAGACCTAGTATGATTTTTCAGGATGCTTGTAATATAAGCCGTACTCCGAAAATAAGCGCCAGTTAAGTGAAAGCCCGCCCTCCAGCATTGTGCAGCAACCAGAAGACGATGACATGACTAAAATAAAACATCCCCTGAAAATAAGCCCTAATGTGTTTTTTGGAGCAAAAATTAATATAAGACCTTGTCTTATTTTCTAGGAAACGTATACTGTGGTATTTCTAGTAACTGTAAAAGGATGTGGAAGGTGGATAGTAAAGAAAGCTAACAAAAAAATCAATTTATTCAAAATATTAATAGTGAATGGAGATTTTTCTGAGCAGAAATTTACAAGTATTGTGGATCACTAGAAAGACAAGTACAGTAAGTGGTTTCTAGAGCAAATCAAGTCTCTTAGTAGAAGCTAAAATGAATTCACGGAGGCTGTTGTATTTTGGGCATCTCATAAGATCAAGTTCACTGGAAAAGGTAGGAAAATGTATAAGCAGAGAGAAAGGAGAAGATAGATGGATTGACTCAGTAAGGGAAGCCGTTACCTTCAGTTTGCAAGACCGGAGCAAGACTATTAAATGGTATTAACAATAAGACCCCCTTTTGGAGGTGGTTAATTGAGAGGATCATTGTTCAGTAAGATAACTGGATAGCCCACAGCATCAATATCATGCCTACCCATAATCGGCTGCTCTACGACAAAACCAAGTTGATCCAGTCTCTATGCTGATTCATTTTTACACCTTTTCCACTGTTGTTGCTGTGTTGTCAAGTCCATTCCAATTTATGGCAAGCCTTTCCAGGTATAGAAAATACTCAGAAGTGGTTTATCATTCTTTTCTTCTGGGGACACCGTGGGCCTGGGCAGCTGACCCGAGGTCACATGGGCTGGCCCTTCTCTCGGGAGGCTCAGTGTTGAATCGGTCTCCTCTAACCTTTGGCTTCTCACCGAGTTATTTATTTTCCAGTTTTAGACAGGAGGAAGAGGTCTTGCACAGAGAATGAAAGAGGCTACAAGGATAAGAAGGCGGCGAATGTTCCGTTGCTTTTCTCTAATGTGATTCCAATCCTCGGTTTACTAACTTGCAGCATGAGTGAAAATTTAAACGGGCCTCATGAGAATGGGAGCTACTACCATGGAAAAGATCCTTTTACTTAAATGGTGCAGTTTAAGAGCTAAAGGATAAATATGGCAATACAGGCCAAAGGGACAGGCGTTACCAGAGAGGAAGCAGCAGCTATGAAGGGTTAGTGAATGTTTGGCTTTCTGGATCTTTTCAAATTTCCAGCACTTCCGGATAGCAGAACTGCAGTTGAAAATTACGAGGAAAATGAAAGAACTACAGAGTACACCTGTAATGACTTTCCCACCAATTGGCTTATGGTGAAAAGGAATTTTAAGCATTATAGTAACAGACATTTTCCCCTATGGAAGAGGGTATTCTCGGTTACTTAAGAGCTCATTGATAGACCAATCTTGAAATTAAATAAATAAATAGAGTGATGGGCTAGGATCCAGCACTCTTGCATTCAAATGCCTGCTCTGCCATGAAAACCTACAGGGTGGGATAGGGCTAGTAAAAACACTCCTTAAATCTCACCTTGAAATCCTTGTTAGGGTCACTATAAATCAGGTGCAGTTCGACAGCACATATCAAGCAATTATACAGACTTTGTGGGACACAAAGCGGAAGTGACGTGGGGGGTAACCTTTCTGCTGAGATACATAATTTCCCCCAATGCTCTTCCTCCTCTTCAGCCCCAATCCCAAATGACCCACAGAGGGTCAGCCTGATGAACAGGATGACCTGTGATACAGGGAGAAGCGGACGTATATAACTACCAGGATGAATGTTGTTTACCCCTGCGCTGGGAATGCGTCCCTCGCTTGGAAGACCTCTTTCCTCCTCATTGGCAAAGCAACCAGAGTAGGTGCCATGTACTGCTTCTGTGCACAGGTAAACCCTTCAAAGAGAGGGTCTTCCTCTCTCCCCTTGAAAGGGGAAGTCCACAGTATCTTATGGATGATAAGAGTTGTGTCCTGTGGCTTCCTAGAACCAGAGATATTAAAAAGATTCTTCCGCTTAAACCCTAAACAGTAGCAGATGAATTACGAAATGTTTGCCTTATACTATTCACTTTATAAGTTGAATCAACCAGCAACGAGTTTCTGTTTTTACAATACGAGTGGTGCCTCGCTAGACAGTCACCCCACATGACAGTTTTTTCGTTAGACATTGACTTTTTGCGATCGCTATAGCGATTCGCAAAACAGTGATTCCTATGGGGGAATTTCGCTGGACAACGTTTGGTCCCTGCTTCGCAAACCGATTTTCGCTAGATGACGATTTTGACAGCTCCCTCCGTGCTCGCAAAACACGGAGCTTGTAAAAGGATCCATTAGATACTCGTAAAATCACACACAGACATGCGGGTAGCATCCTGATAAGAGAGTAATAGCAACTAGTACTGCATGGAAGAACTCACTGAGATGAAAAAGAGGGTCTTATATAATAACCTTAGAATTGCAGAGCTGGAAGGGACCCTATGGATCATCAAGTCCAGCCCCTGACAAAGAGGCCCAGTGGGGGAATCGAACTCCCAACCAGATGGCTCAACCACTGAGCTATCCAGCGAGCTGAGATTTAGGAGTACATAACTGAGTCAGGTAAGCAGACGTCACTACCTTCCCCCCATGGGCTGTGACGCAGAAGGAAGGGGGAACTTTTGCAAATGAAGTGCATTCACAGACCGCAGAATTTATAGGGAGAACTGAAGACAGGGGTTAGTGTAAAGTGTACGTCAGCAAGAGTTTAAAAGCATTGCTTCTCTCAGAAGGCATGCTGGCTGTTTTTTCTTTTCTTTTCCTTCTTTTTTAAAAACTTATTTCAAGCATTTTTAACTTGCTTTTCAGCCGAAATGGCTCTGAGTGCTGCTTGAAAATCTGTTTTAAAAACATATATGGTCCCTGTCTTCTCAAGCCAAGAGACAGAGGGAAAAAGAAGTGGGGAGGGAGAATTAAATAATTCAGTGCCCAAGTTACAACTTTGTAATAACCTGCGGCTGCACAGATGATCTTGCTGTGGTTTGCCATCTCTAGTTGAAGGTTGAGAGTGAACCAGAGGCAGCAGATCTGCCAGCAGAACTGATGGAAAAGTTTTGCTTCCTTTCTTTCTCTTTCTCTGCTTTGCTCTTCCTGTTCTTTTTTCAGGCAGCAAAATAGCTTGGGCTGCCCTGCTTCAGCATCCCAAGAGTCCAGTTTTCATCCTGAATGCTGGATCTTCCCAATCTTCCGGAGGGATAGCGTTACCGCCGTAGGCATCTGATGTTGGGTTTTGTCACAAACGGGGCAGTACAATCTTAGTACATTTTCCTGGAACGGATTATTGTCGTCAAGCGGGGCACCACTGTACTTTAATTTCTTATTAATGCCACTTTTTGTTGCCGGGTAGGAGAAGAGGAACTGGGTGCCAGGTATTGCGTGTGACTCAAGTGCCAATAGGTCTCGGCTGACTTTGAGTAGGGATGCATCACTCACCTTTGTTGTTGTTTAGTCATGTCCGACTCTTCGTGACCCCATGGACCAGAGCACGCCAGGCCCTCCTGTCTTCCACTGCCTCCCGGAGTTGGGTTAAATTCATGTTGGTAGCTTCGATGACACTGTCCATCCATCTCGTCCTCTGTCGTCCCCTTCTCCTCTTGCCTTCACATTTTCCCAACATCAGCATCTTTTCCAGGGAGTCTTTTCTTCTCATGAGATGACCAAAGTATTGGAGCCTCAGCTTCAGGATCTGTCCTTCCAGTGAGCACTCAGGGTTGATTTCCTTCAGAATGGATACGTTTGTTCTCCTTGCAGTCCAGGGGACTCTCAAAAGCCTCCTCCAATGCCACAATTCAAAAGCATCAATTCTTTGGCGGTCAGCTTTCTTTATGGTCCAGCTCTCACTTCCATACATCACTACAGGGAAAACCATAGCTTTGACTATTCGGACTTTTGTTGGCAAGGTGATGTCTCTGCTTTTTAAGATGCTATCGAGGTTTGTCATTGCTTTCCTCCCAAGAAGCAGGCATCTTTTAATTTCGGGGCTGCTGTCACCATCTGCAGTGATCATGGAGCCCAAGAAAGTGAAATCTGTCACTGCCTCCATATGTGTTGGGTTTATCAAGTCAATCTCTCAGGATAACACAAGGAGGGAAGGGATGGGATTTGAACCTCTGGCCCGAGATAACACTCTAAGCACAAGTTTGATGATCCACCACTATTTCTACCACACCATGATCACCGTCTTAATTGCTTCCTCCGATCCTAGCTACATTTTTGTGCTCTTTTTCCGGTAGCCTTCTGTTATCTTTCGTATTAGCTATTTTTATATAGTAGAGATTTGGTTTTCTTTGTCTGATATTTTAATTTGGTTTTTATTGTAGTTTTATTTCATGTCTACGTCATGAGATTGTATGGGACATGGTGGCGCTATGGGCTAAACCGCAGAAGCCTGTGCTGCAGGGTCAGAAGACCAAGCAGTCGTAAGATCGAATCCACGCAACGGAGTGAGCGCCCGTCGCTTGTCCCAGCTCCCGCCAACCTAGCGGTTCGAAAGCATGCAAAATGCAAGTAGATAAATAGGGACCACCTCGGTGGGAACGTAACGGCGTTCCGTGTGTAAGTAGCACTGGCCATGTGACCACGGAAGATTGTCTTCGGACAAAAACGCTGGCTCTATGGCTTGGAAACAGGGATGAGCACCGCCCCCTAGAGTCGAACACGACTGGACAAAAATTGTCAAGGGGAACCTTTACCTTTACCTACATCATGAGATTATAAGCTGTGCAGAGTAGCAGCCTTGTTCACTAGATGGTGTGTGTGTGTAAATAAATATAGTAGATGTCTAACCATGAGGAAGTGGAGGCAAACTAACATATTTGTTATTAGCCACAATGACCACCAGGTGGCCCTACCAATCTATATTTATCGCGTGTCCAATATTTTCCCATACTGCTTTCTCAGGTCACTAAATGAACATCATTTGCCCAACAGTAAATCCATAAAGCATCAGTGGTAAATTATGGGCGCAGGAGGGGGACAACCAACAGCATTCCATGGATGTGAGAAGATATTTCCAACACTCTGGTCCCAGTGTGGTCTCGCTGCTGCAGGCAGCTTCCAAATTAATAAATAGGAAAAGTTTCATTTTAGGATTTTAAAACAGACACAATTTTATATTGGGGGTCACCAGAGGAGAAGTAGTGTGGGCCGGTGTGTGTGTGTTCATTTCATTGCTTCCTGGTGGATCAAGGACTGGAAACTAGAAAAGGGTAATTTCTTTTTGATAAGAATTTCCACATTTAAAAAATTATAATTTGAAGGGAAAAGAACATGAGATTTCATACATTTGAACCTATGAGAAGCCAAAATGAACAGATGCAATTCATACAGGCCCAGGGCTTAGAGTCCTTAACTTTTAAAAGTTCTGAATTTATACCCATGTGCATTTCAATCATATTAGTATTGAACAACGCCTGCCACCCCTATTTTATTTCAGGATTTAAAGGCTCCTCCTCTTTCACATCCAGAGAGCTGGCAGGTACAATATGGATCATGGCATGCTGGGAACAGCTATAGGTATTTAGTGGTCCAAAATGGGAAATAATTCTAATTCTATTCATGTTTGAGCAATTGACCAATATTGACAAATAATATCTGTGATGGAGAGAACAGGAGATTAGCTGGCTGATTTTGAAAGAATTCAATGTGGTAGAAAGCAATACTAACAGATTTGCCCACCTCTACTGGAATCCGGGCTTCTAATCTAGAGTGTACAGCTCAAATTACATTTATGCTTGTCCCTCATTAGCAGAGTTTAGAAATTTCATCTTTTTGGATTATATCTCTTGAAACTTCCCAGCCACCGTAGGTTTTTAGTACAGGGAGAATCTTATTAATTTAACTGATATTTAAAAACTTTTGTCACATTTCCCCCCTCTCTGCACCAAGTTAGCAGCTTCCTTCTCTTCTCCTCTACTGCATCCCACCATGCCAGGTCTGACCCCCCTCTGTTATTCTTTGCCTCCCCTCCTGCAGGGTGCATGTTTTGTCTGCAAAAGCTTCCAGGTTCCATTGTGTAGTAGGTAAGGCCAGAAAAGCCCACTGTCTGAAGCTCTGTTGAGCTGCAGTCAGGGAAAACAGGAAGAAGCGCTGATGGAGGGACCAAATGCACCCAGTTGGTATGTGCCACTTTATTATGTTCCACAGGGAGAAAATGATGATGCCCCCCCCTGCTAACTGTCCCTCAGTGATGTGCCTGCCATGGGGCATTCTGCAACAGTAAATATTTAGATAGCTGCCACCACCCACTTCCTGTTGTCCAGGAACTATTTACCATATTTTTCCATGTATAAGACTATAATTTTGTCTAAAATCTTTAGACTAAAAATTGAGGGTTGTTTTATACACGGAAGTAAGCTGAGGAGAGAACAAAACAAGTGGAGGGGAAAGCAGGGATCAAAGCGATCCTGCAGCACTTTGATCCCTTTCCCCTACACTTGCTAAGCCCCACTTAGATTTCTTAATTTTGGATTAGAAAAGTGGGAGGCGTCTTATACATGGGGGCATCTTATACACGGAAAAGTATGGTACATCACAAGTCTACCTGTGACATTATTTGTTAGCCACTTTTCCCCTTCCCCCACCCCCTTTTTTACAGGCCAAAACTTTTCACTGTTCTCTTTTCCTCAGCTCACAGCTCTCTGTGCATCACTTTAACCCAGGTCCCATTCTCTTTCTCAGTATCACATATCACTTATTTTTCTTTGCTCGGTACCACCAGAGGTCTTTCTGCAGTCTGCAACCATCCCTTTTTACACTCCACCCATCTCCCTGTTACCCCCATTGCTTTTCCCCACAGATGTTTTATTTTTTTCAGCCTCTGCTCTATTTTTGTTGCAATTCTTCCCTCCCTCCCTTCCTCCTCCTCTTTTTAATTCAACGGCAGTGGTACCTGAGGCTTTCTGGTCTCTCAGCAACTCACATCTGGGAAAGATTCTCAACCTCAGGTGGGCTGTGAAGTGTCTGTTTGGAATCTACTGCCGAATTCACCAGAGGCTCCCTGAAATGCAGAGAGAGAGAGAGAGATGGATCAATTGAGGTAGAGCGATGCAGTCATTCTCCAGTCCCTTTGATAACCTCAGGATGGGGCTAAGATATTCTTACACAGAAGTTTGAAATGGCCACCAACAAGTTATTAAAGAAGACCATATGTTTTGTATTTCACTTCTCATGCACATGTTTATTTATTTGTTTGTTTGTTGCATGTGCAACCCATTTTCCCTCCCTCAGGGTCCTCTGTGAGGATTTGAACCTTAATGACTCAAATCCCAGCCCATCACTCTAACCACTACACTTAACTGCCTTGCCTCTGTAGTTTAGATAGAAAGGGGCCTAGTGGGGTGGGACATTTTAGCTAGAGAGGAAAGCACTGCTTTTTGATGGAACCCCCACTGATCCTTTGGTTAGTCTCTGATAATAACCATCTTGTACGCGCATGCTTAGCATCTCTGTCATTCTAAGAATCTATGGCCATGTAAAATGATGTCTCAACCTTCTGTGTCGTGGCCCAGCTAATGTTGATTATACTAAGCCGCCTCAGAAGGAACTATAGTTCTTCCCCATATGCTACCGTGCCTTAGCAACATAAACTGCTTTTCACACCAAGGATGGCCCCTCCAGCTGTTGTGGGACTGGAGTCCTCATCCTTTCAGCTGTGCTGGCTAGGACTGATGGAAAACTGTCGTGTTGGGAACATCTGGAGGGCCGGACATTTCACACTGCCACTTTATGTCATGGAAGCTAACATCTGCTAAAAGCAAGAGCATCAAAGACATGCATGGGAAACTCAGATGCGCTAATTCAGAAACATTTCTCACTCCAGATGGCAAAGTACTCTTTGGTTAGCTCATATCTTAATGACCAATAGATGCTTCTTTTAGAGCCTGTCCTTCAAGCAGTTTGAAGCCTTGCACCAATCTTTTAGGCCGTGGCCAGGCAAGACTGTTTTCTCCGATTATTTTTGCTCTTAAGTTTAATATCCAAGCTGGGTTTAGAAAATTTGGAATGATGTCAAAAGGCTGCTCGCAAAATAAATACAAAAATGGGAGGGCGGAGCACTAGAAATGATGTGGCCTCTTTTGTTTAGATAAAAACATCCATATCCACCCCCCACACACACCTTTCCTTCACATTTGAACCAGGTTTGTGCCTGTTCCTTCCCAAACCCTTTCTTCCACTTAAGGCTTCCCTGTGACTGTGAACTACATACTGTAGTTTCTATGGACGGAAAAGAGCAGATACGGATTAAATGGTTTTCAATGCATTCCTATGGGAAATGCAGATTCAACATAAGAACTTTTCAACTTGAGAACCACCTTCCAATACGGATTAAGTTCTTAAGTAGAGACCCCACTGTATATAAATGGTGAAAAAGTTGTGCAATTCCAGTCCAAACAGAAGGCTTCCTTCTCTTGCCTGCTTTTAAACTGAGGGGGCGAAATCCAGTATCTAGAGATTCACCTTGGCCTAACTTTGTCCTGGTAGAGTGATTGAGTCCCTGAGCTGCGCGGAATTGGGCATCATGTCAAGTCAATTCTGTCCGACAGTGACCCTTTTCAGGGTGTTCTAGGGAAAGAGTACTTAGAAGTGGTGACCCTTCCCTTCTTCTGGACGCATCCTTGTACTGTGCAGCTTGCCCAAGGCCACACAGGTTAGTTCTACTCACAGGAGGCAGAGTGAGGATTTGAATTCCCAACCTCTACCTAAAACCACTGAGCTACCCAGCAAGCTAAAGGACATCCTACCGATATGTTTAAAATGAGGCCTATTATGAATAAAGATCAAAGTGCACAGATTTTTCTGTCTACCTTTTAAGGCTAACGGGTCAGCAGCAGCCGATGTCTTGAGATTTCAAGCCAAAACCTAAGATTGGAGGTTGGTGGGCCTTTGTGATGTCACTGAAGGGGGGATAGACTAGGTTTGGGACTGGGGTAGGACTGCTCCTGGACCGAAAGGCACTGGAAATGATCACCAGGGGATTCCAGCTAGATGGGTCCAGAATCTAATTGAAACCTGTTGAAGCAGGTCGTATGGATGCGGTAGAGTCATCACTTGACCGTCTTTTTCCTTGGCTGCTCTGCAAGGCTATCAGGATTTAATAAAACAAGAGGGCTTGTGAGTCATAGTGATGGTGCTTCGTCCCTTGCCTGCTGCTCACCGTCTCTCTTCCCAGTGCTTTCCACTCCCTTCAGACATTTTGGGGCACTGATAATTGACAGGCACAACACACATAGCTGCAACTTCTTATTGAGCTAGTGAGCCCAAGCGTCAGCTGGGAATGGGTAGTGATGGATATCCAAGCTTTCAAGCCACTTCACATTTAAAAAAAAATCAAGCTTTCTAATCAAAAATAAATCATAAATCAAACTTGTTTCCCTTTTCAGCCCGAGATCTGCCTCCCTGGTTGGAGATGTGGAGAAATGTCATTTCTTGAGACAACAGCCCAATCTGGCAAATCTGGCAACACAACTACATTTTTTTTTAAAAAAAAAATTGCTTGCCTCCCACAAAATCAAGACAAAGAGTTGAGCTTGGGGTCAGTAACCTTGAAGCTAACACACACCATGACAGGATTTTGAAACCGTTCTGGTTAGTGGCCCCCCGATGGAATTTTATTAATACTGTAAGAAATGACCACCTGTTCCTTGATATCATGTTTTTCCAAAAATATATTTAAATTATT